TCACCCCGAGGGTGATGGTGCCCCCAGCCACGCCGGACCTGCCGGCCTGCAGCCCCGCCAGCGAGACGGGCAGCGAGAACAGCGTCAGCATGGCCGCTCACACCCTGATGATACTGTCCCGCGCCGCCATCGCCAGGACGAGCGCCGCGACCCCCCTCAAGGACAACACCCAGCAGTTCAGGGCTCTCAGGAGCGCCGTGAAGAAAAGGAAACTGGAGGACTTGAATGAGGGCGAGAGAAACCCTCGTTCTGCAAACAAGAAAGACCTTCAAAGCTCTCCAACACAGTCAAAAAAGAAGAAACTAAAGGCAAGTACAGGCTTTTTAATTTAAAATTCTAAATATATGTTGGACATCTATCATGTACTATAAATAATGAGATGGTTCAGAGGCGCTAATCCGAATCCCCGGTGTCCTGTTTATACTGAGCAGTTTTACTGACTTTGCCTGTTGAGCCTACTCTGAACTGACAGGCTTTGTAAGATGAGTATAGTCTCCCAGTGCACACAAGTCACCCCTGCTGACTCTCTTCACACACCTATGAAAATCAAATTATTTCTTCTAAAACACAAACATATTTGTAAATTCTAACTTCAGGTAAGTTCTTGAGTAGAATGTAGGAATTAGGGCAAACTCAAACTAGGCCTTAGGGAATTTGGACTATTCTCATATCCTCATTTACCACCAGGACTGGTAATCTACATTTTCTGCACTCCCAGTCTGTGTAGTCTACAGCGTCACACCCTCAGCGCTAGGGTTTAATGGCAGGGGTGTGAGATGTGAAAAGATGCTGTGTGACTTCGTAACTCTAAATACAACCAATTGGTTGTCTAAATACAACACTTGGTTGTAGAATACTCCTGAGATGCTCTCTGAAAAGTGCTTTCTTGAATGGTACCTGTGAGAGGCCCAGGGGGCTGTGCCTGCCAGGAGGCTGCTGCTGAAGCTGAGCTCAGCTGCTCCTGCCCCAGGGCCTTGCTGGGTTGTGCCCTGGGGGTAGCTCACACATTGCAGTGTCTCATTTCTGGGTGAGCTTTGTGCCCTTATGTCTACCAGGTAGGCGGAAGGACGAGGATCAAAGGAATGCTCACAGACTCTTCAGTATCCCCTACGTTATTCCTGTTTAAAACAACTGTTTTTTCCCTCTCCTACAGAAAAAGAAGCTACCAAATTCTTTTCCAGCAGGACTGGATGTGGACAAGTTCTTGTTATCTCTGCCTTATGATGAGTGACACAAAAGAAGTTGAACTGTGACTGTCTAAAGCTGGGTGGTGTTATGCTGAGGTTTTGCATGGGAAAAGAAGTTGATTCTAAGGGTGAGTTGCACTTTCAGTGCACTGAAGTTTCACTTTATAGCAAAATCATGCTCTTTCTGAAGCAGGTTGCTAAGTGTAAATATCATTGAGTTGGTATATGTTTATTTTTGAAAAAGCACTTGTGTAATTATAGAGCCATTTAATTTGCAAAACTGTAAATTTGTATAAATGTAAGAAAAATGGTATGTTTGCTGTTACACCACGTTGTCTGTGTTCTGCTGCATTCTCTACTTACCCATGGAACCACTTTGCCAGTGTGGGAGGGTTGGGAATTTGAGGGTGGTGTTTGTAGCTCACGCTTCTGAGACAGGGGCAGCTAACTTGGCCATTTCTCAGGGCCTTGCTGACTCCAGAAGGGGCTTGATCTTCAGCTGGTACTAACGCTGTCTCCCCTCTGACCTGTCAAGCCCATGCTGCAAGGCCTTGGACGAGTTAACGACAATAGCAGTAGCTGCAGTATTTCTCACCTGATGCAGCTTTCCCCAACCAGTCGTTCAGGAAAGAACCTGGACTTGGGCAGGCCTCAGCCCTTCGTGGCATGTGCTGCGCAGGGTGTTTGTTGTCTGAAGGCAAAAGCTGTTACCAGCAGTGTACCTTGTTCTGGGTTAACCCCCATGTTCATTCCCCAGTGCCAAGACTTAACAACATACCAAGAGCCAGCCGAGAATTTCGGCGTGTTCCATCACAAAAGTCAATTCTTCAGCTCTTGTTTGTACTGCTGAGAAGGCATTTGTTCCTATTGCTTAGGCTTTTTAGCCAGGCAGGGGAAGATTTGCACCCGATATTTCTGTTTAACGTAGAACCTGTCATAGCTATGACACAAGCTCTGTTTGAAACAGGTGCAGGAGGTGGTCAGCCTACATTTTAGTAACAATTAACATGGGAGTTATGACACCAGGCCTTGCTCCAGTAATGCAGAGTTCTCTCTACCGGCAATTCCCCTGTTGTTCTCAAATTGCTGAGGTTTTAAGAAATGCAGGTTTTCTTCTAAGAGATCCGTACAGCAACAGGGCAATATTTCAGATAGTATACAAGGATTCCTAAGGAACCAATATTATGCAGTAGATGTTTATATTAAACCCATCCAATAATTAAATACTGCATAGTATTTACAGCTTGAATAAATATTTTTGTTTTAATAAAATGTTGTGTGTCTTGCTTAATATTTTCTAAGTCCACTAAGCAGCTTTGCAGATACTGACATGACTTTTCTATACAATGAGACATTTTATTTAAGACAAAGAGTTCAGTATTAAACACTAAGTTCTAACAGTTCTAGCAGGTGTCAGAGTGGCAAAAGGAATTGTCATTTTGCTACAGGGTGGCATTTTATGCTTAATAGTATTCTGACCGTTGAAATGTGATATTTATAAATAGATCTGCTATTTGAGACATAGTGTAGCTCTTTCATGGGACAGCCAGTATCCACTGCAGTCTTCTTTTTTCAGTTCAGGTGCTCTTGTAATACTGAAGATGTAAAGATTTGTCAGTTCACTTGCATTTTCACAGGACAAAGCATCTTCAGTTCCAAGCTGCCATTATATGGGGCAGATAATTTTTTGAAGACAAGTGTCAAGCATGAAAAGAGGTTAATTGTCTTAGTGTGGAGCATTTAAACCCCACTGTTGATTTCCTACCTCTAGAAGTACATTGCTTCACAGAAAAAAACAGATCCCACTACCTCCCAGTCAAAGTATTTAGTCCCTCTCCTTTATGGAGGAAAAGATAAAGAGAATCAGTGGGTAAATTAATGTCAAAACAAGAAAGCAGCTGTCCTAAATCCCAGCTAAGAAACGTGGCGGTATTTGATTATCCCTTGTGAAAAGGGTGAGGTGGGAATAGGCTCTATACTGATGAAATACCTAATTTCTACCCTCTAGTAAAAAGCATCTTGAAGAAACTGCATAAACTTCTCACTAAAGCCTTGAACGAGATCTGTTCCAGGAAAGCATTTTCCTGCCTTCCTGTACTTGCAGTAATCCTGAGGACTTTGCTGGGAATTCTGTCAGGCAGACAGGTGCTGGGCAGCTCCTCATGAAGGAGCAGTAATGGTGGTTGGACTCCTTCAGGCCTGCTGTGCCTCTGCTTAACACCACACTGACAAAACTGCACATCAAAGGTTTAAATTAACAAAAACAGAGCAGCAGCATTTTGAGGCCGTACTGGTATGTGGGTGGGTAAGCTGCAGCACCACCACTCCCTGCTTGCCTGGATACTCACCCCAAACCCACGTGAGGGTGGGGTACAGCTGGGCTCTTGGGGGTTTTTTTGCTTTTGACCTGTCTGAGGTGCACAACAGTAGAAAACCAACCTCTGAGTAAAGGTTTTTTTTCCATGAAAATCACTTAGGAAAATCAACCAAGAAAACTGTCAGAAAGGAGCTGCTCTGAATGGCAGTAGGCGAGTTGCCAGATTTGGCTTCCAGCAGCATTTGAGAAACCAGGTGGCAGTGACAGAGGAGCCGCAGTTAGCAAACGTTCTTTATTGTCAGGTCTCAGGACATCACTGTGATTTGCCACTTTCTGTTGGTACTGTATAAAAACTGCCACTGAGTCAAAAGTACTAAAAGCCCAGTTGTCTGTGTCAGTAATCAGGTGTTCTGGGCTGGAGGCTGTGACCTACAGCTTCTCTATCAGGATGGCAGAGGCACCACCCCCTCCGTTGCAAATTCCTGCGAGACCGTACTGTCCTTGTTTCAGGGCGTGGGCCATGTGAACAACAATTCTTGCTCCAGACATTCTAAAGAAAAGAAAAGAAATGCGTGCAGCTTAGTTCTTTCCTTCGGTAATTGGCAGAATACAGTAGTACTGATTCACAGGAGGGGAAAAAATACCAGCAAACCACCAAAAAAGACCAAACAAACCTTCCACTTACATTTAGCTAATACAGGTGATTTTTCTGCTAGCTACAATACTTAACAAATAGAAGGATTCTTATACATACACAAACAAAGCTCCCACATTTATGTAAAGTTTCTTCTGGAAAAGGAAACTGTCTTGAGCCAGTCTATTATGAAGTACCTCTGCATGCAGCAAAGCTCTGTCAAAGAAGGTGACAAATGTCCCCTAAACCCCAAACTGATGGTAAAGCTTAATTTCAAACAGCTCCTTATTTGCTTACAGCTTCACAGGCTGCAGTATGAGACTTTGAGCCACCTAATGTGCAAAATCAGACATTTAAATTCATTAAATTAGAATGAATTAGACTGTCAAAGTTAACTTTTATGAAAAAAAGTCAATGAGTTTTGCAAGATTATGCCTTGATCAGAGCTTTTTATGAACCATGAAGTACTCCTTATTGTTCCTGATACACAACGTGCTTACTTCACATCTGTATGTAACTCGGAGGTTTTGAAATGGTATTTTCCCATTTCCCGTCATTCCCAAATTCCCTGGACAGTGCTGCATGACCACTCTTAGGGAGAATTAAAGAGATACACTTAAGTCATGAGCAAGTTGCAACTGTTGGGGAACAGAGCAGGTGATCTGACTCCTCTCACCAGAGGACAATTTCAAATACAAGACCCACCACCATCTCCCGGGCTATCTCCATCTGCTTCATTAGGTGCTTGGAGACTTTTGGATTCACTGCCAAAAATGCTTTGACAAGACTTGGAATTTCACTTGGCTTATGTAAGAAAAAAATCAAACTCTGTGTAGCATATCCTCTGGTATTTTCTTAAGTTTATCTGTAAATTTTATTAGCTTAACTACTGGGTAAATTATTATTGTTTATTCTGTCATGTTAGTAGTGATTTGGTTTTAATACTTCATAAATCCATATAGCTACAGTAACGAGCAAGCTCTTTATAAAAAGTAGGTGATAACTGTGAAAAGAAAAATGGGATCATGCTCTTTTCAAGGTACCCTGAAATTTAACACCTGCATTGTTACTATGTACTTGACAGCAAATTTCTATTAGCCTTCCTACTTGAATTGAACTTGAGAATTAAAGGTAAATGTGTTAGCAGTGCTAGAGAGAAGAAAACCCAGTGGTGTTCTTCCTTACCCTATTGGATGTCCGAGAGAGACAGCACCTCCGTTAACATTTACTTTTTGTGGGTCAATACCCAGCATTTTAATATTGGCCAGCACCACAACACTGAAGGCTTCATTGATTTCCCACATTGCAATATCTTCTTTCTTCAGGCCTGTCTCACTTAGAATCTAGAAGTTATAATAAAAATAATTACTACTGTGGAAAAATTAGGAAGCTAATTCTAGAAATACTTAGGTCTGTTTTGAAGTCAGTGATTCAGGCTCACATTTCAGAACCTCTGTCAGGTGGGAAAAAAGCAAAACTCAGTTACTGAAGCACAAACTGAGTTTTCACAAGAGGAGAACTGGGGAAGACCCTACACCAAGAACACATGTATGGTAAGGCTGCTGTTACGGGGAGTGCATTTAAACAGGCAGGGCTGCCCCACATCACAGGAAGGTCCACGGAGGGCTGAACCAACAATCCAGTGCTAGGAAAGTGTGTTGTTTTTAAAAAAGAAACCCTTAGTTTTATTCCTACCTTGGGAATAGCATGTGCAGGTGCAATTGGAAAGTCAATGGGATCAACAGCAGCATCTGCAAAAGCTGTAGAAGTTGGAAAAGCTGTTTAAAAACCTTTTGTTTTTACTGTACAAGATTTTTATTTTTGCAAGCAGCAAACTCTGCCGAGACAGAGAAGTTTGGAGTGTAACGGTCTGTGAAACAGGTATGTCTAAAGCTTAGTGCCTTTTTATGTGAGCCACATAATAACGTTTTCCTATTGTTAACGTTACTCCCCATAGATAGCTGTTTATGATCAAAAGCCTGTGGGTACCACCCTTGGAACCCCAAGCACTGCACTGAGGAGACGCAGCCGTAAGGCCCAAGGGCTCAGCTTTTCCCTCCCAGAACCCTCAGATGAACAGCCTACAGCGACTCCCGCTCCGAGAGCGTTTTCTGTGGGGCTGTTTTCCAGGACTGTGCTCGGAAGAGAAGAAGAATCTTACCCACTACCCGTGCCAAGGGTTTGACTTTCAGTCTCTTGGCCGCCTCCGTGGTCATCAGCAGGAGGGCGGCGGCGCCATCGTTCAGCGTGCTGGCGTTGGCAGCCGTGACGGTCCCTGGAGGAGGCAGCGCAGCGTGAGCAGAGGGCAGCGGGACACCTGCCTGCGGCGAGGCTGCACAGGCCTTACGCTGCGCCCTCCAGCGTCAACTCCCAGCAATACAACACCAGTAAACATCCAAACCGGTTTGTCACTGGCTCAGGGCCCCTGGAGCACCTTCTAACCCAAGCCAGTGCATGCTGGTGTGATGCATGCTTTTTTATCTTAGCAGAGGTTTAAAAGTTAATGGGCCACTGCTGGGCATTCAGGCTCTTGTGAAGAGTACTCTTCACTACAACAGAATCCTTGGATTTGTAGGAAATTAAGCAGTTAATTTAACAATATTTACCATTTTCTTTTTGGAAGACAGCTTTCAGCTTTGGAACTTTACTAAAATCAACGCGTTTGTATTCTTCATCTTCTGTCACTTCTATATCTGGCTTTCCTGAAATTCAGATTGGGTTTAGTATTCTACAGAACAGTCCATTCTTAAAGAGATTCTAACACAGTACTCTGACTAAATGCTGCCTTATTTAAACAACTTATTTCAGTAAAAAAATACAAACACATGTAAAGCGCACGTCAACATGCTTGTGAAAACAAAAATCATTCCTTAATCCAATTTATTAACAGCAAATCCATTTATACTACCTAGTGTCTGAATTAAAGGGGAAAAAGAATATATCTTTAAGGTAATTAAAAGGGAAATTAAACCAGAGGTGTCAAATTCAATAGCTAGTCTTCCACTTACATAAAGAAAATAGAAGATAGGGTATGTAACATTAAAGAAAATTTTAACAACAAAACCAAACCACAGGTCACTGACTGCTGTTCACCAGAAAGTCTGCATAACAGGAAATTCTTAGCTAATCTAAAAATTAGTGTTCCCAAAATCTTCATGCTTCAAGAACACAATTTTCACTGACCACAAAACCACGTTACAGCTTTCAATGAGAAACAATTAACTATCACACCTTTCCATAATACCTTTTTTTGAAATGGTGACAGGAACTATTTCATTTTTCAGTATTCCTGAATCCCAGGCTGTTTTGCTCTTTGTGTAAGAGCCTATGGCATAAGTGTCTTGCTCCTCTCGTGAGATCGTAAACTTCTTGGCAGTGTTCTCAGCACAGTTGCCCTTGGAGAAAACCAGGCACGTTAGATTTGGTATACCTGGTGAGGTGAAGTAGAAGTGTAACTGGGAAAACTCAACCAGCAGACTTCAGAATTAAATATGACTCATATTTGGTGTCTGTTTCTAATTTACACTGTCATCATCAGCAGTAACTTCTGGTTTTTTGAATATGATCTTCAGATTTAGCAAATGTTTTCTGGAACCAGATTATTAAAGCCATGAAGGAACAAGGATTTTTTTTTTTTAAGCTGGAAAACTGCATACAGAAGTAACTTTTAGAGTGCTTAGGGGTGACAACTTCTGAGACTGCCACAGAACAATGTGTTTGCATCACCTTACTCATGTTTTAATGCCATTATTAGCTTGCCTATTCCAAAGGTTACAAGAACACATCAACACATGGGGCTTACTTAGCCTTTGGGATCTGGTACTCTAGAAACAAATGAAAGAATGTACACCTTTAATAACTGCTATGAAATAAGTAGAACTAAACTATGAAGTCATTTTATATACATGTCATCACAATCACACTGATGCAATCCTAGAATCATTAAGGTGGGAAAAGACCTCCAAGATCAAGTCCAACCGTAAATCATCATTTGTTACCAACACTGTCTAAATCCTTAGTGAGAAAAATAAAAAAGAGATACTAATTTAGTCAACCTGAAAGAGATCTGTCCTTAAACAGATGTTGTCCCACCTCTCATTTCTGTAGAAAACTCAGGTAATGAACACAACCCCCTTTAGTGCCGTGTTTCTCCAGTTCTGCAAACAAGCAAGTTCACTCCCATGCAGTTAAAGAAAGTCTCCATAGCACCAGCAGCTTAGTGTATTGCCAAAACATAGACAAGAGTTAGTTCCTAAAGCCACTGGATGGGCCTTCCTGGATAGTCTCACATGGACTGTTGAAGTAAGCAACCTACAGCTGCTACAGTGAAGACAAAAGGTTCCGAAGTATCGCCCCAATCTATTAAAACTTGGTGTGTTATAACCAGCTCCTTGAGTCTCTCCCTGCATACAGGAACTAGCGAAGCCACTATTTACATTCCTGTCAAAATCCTCACAATCAAAACCATTTCTGCTGAGACACAGGAGTGGATTTCAACCAGCAGCCTAAGCAGAGAACATCACACACGGAAGCTGTGAGGTCTGTATCCAGCACGGGTCACAGCACCATGTTCTTCATGACAGTTCTCCTGTACAGCAGCAGCAAGAACACTAACTGATCAATCAGTAACGCCCTACAGCTATGAATTACCAGAGGCAGAGGTCAGAAATACTCATAGATTGACAGAAGTTGTTATCTTTCTAGAGTTCCTCACTACCTTCCTATCAGTTGTTTTCCAAACCCATTCTAAGTTGGCCGTTGTTTGTCCAGTTTAAGTGGTCATGCTGAGGACTAAGCCTATCAGCTGACTCAAACCTTCTGACAGAAGATATGAGATATGTACCTTGGGGGTGGAAAAACAAGCAGGAGAGCCTGCAGAACCATACAGAGTAGGTACCCTCAAAGACATCAATTAACTTCATTGCTCTCTCCCACAAGTACAGCAACAGCAACCTACCAGTAGCAGGACTCTGTTTTTTTTTTTTTAAATCCCTGCTCTAGGCTATTCAGACTTCAGTCAGAGGCAGATAAATATCAACATCCAATTTGCTGTCCTGTTTTGGTCTCCTTTCTATCCCTTCCATTACCATTACTACAGGAAACCTGGAAACAGAAGACTTTTTCCTCCTCTGCCCATGTTATTCCTCATTTCTAGGTTTGCTCAATGAAGCAGGCCCATAATAATTATAAGCAAGCTCTTCAAAGCTGGAGCAGGTCTGTGGTTGGTACTTTAGTACTTCAGCGCAGGAATATTTACCATGTGGATGTGGTTGTAAGCATCTGTCAGCCCATCTTTTACAATCAGGTCTTCCAGCTTTACTCCTCCGTAAGGCGTCGATCCTCTGCTCATTGTGTAGAGAACATTAGACATGCTCTCCATTCCACCAGCAACCATTACATCCTGCTCAGAGGAAACAAGGTAAAATTATTAACACCACAGCGTGTCCTCTGTGACTTCTTGTAGGAACAAATACCAGCAAAAGCTTAAGCATGGACACTTTCTGTTTCTGAGGAGTCTTAGAGAAAGAAGGAAGCGTCTTTATACATTTAGAAAGCCAACAGCAGGAACAACAGCTGGAGACAGTTGGTCCACCCTGACAGAACAACTGGACTTCTGCCTTGCATGCAGTTTTAGAAAGCTGCAAGAGCTGCCAATCCCCTGCATTTTTACTTCAAAAGCTTCTGAGATCAAATTGTCAATTTTAATTTAAACAGTTTCTTCTTCTGTAAATTTCTCATTTTTGTTCTTCATTCACAGCTCCATATCCCTATGGAACAAGCAACAGCCAGAATCTATGAGACCAATAAGAAGAGACAGAGATTTACAAGTCCCTGCAGTTTTACATAGCATTGTTTCATCTTACTACATAAAGAGAGTTGATACAGAATATGGTATTATAATTTGAAAACGCCAGCAGAAAGAGAGATGTTAATGATCACTGAACTTGAATTAAGCAGAATCATTATGGGTATTTATAAATCAGTACCCTTTTCAAGCTGAGACAAGGCAAACAAATGGAAAACCTACAAGCAGAAAAGCTATAAGGTCTGTGAGTACACCTACTGTTCAACAGCAATACCCCCAAAATCCCTAGGATCTCAGGATGGGAAAAACACACACAGTTGTGTTTAGTGGTATATTTTAAGTATGGATAAATATAAGAAAAATTCAAAGACTCACACTGCTGTGTATGTGAGTTCAACAGTGCTGTTAATACAAATTCAAACAGATTTTGCATCAAACAGCAATAAGAAAAAGATGAGAGCTTTTTTGGTTTAATTTAAGATGCAGAAAAATAATGATCTGATTCAGAATAGATTATAAACTAGACCCAGGAACAGTGACATGAAGTAATAAAGCAAAGAAAGAAGGCTGGAGACGAATGGGAAAGGCAGATAAATGAGAAAGGCAGCTGAGATAATGCAAGCAGCAACAGATCAGAGGAACAAGAGTCCTGGCATTTCAGCTCCATAAAGTGAAAGACTTGGAGACAGCGTTTCTGCAGTTGTTTATACGATGTTGCACACTGACTCAAGCCACTGGGAACCATCCCTGACTTCTGTACCACAGTCACCTCACAGCCAGCAGCCAGGAAAAACAAACAAGTATCACACCCCCTGTTATTTATAGCTCTAAGAGACTAACAACTGGCTGAGTCTCTGCTTTTGCTGAGACTGGTAGCCCAGCATGGATGATTAGCTCAGCTGAAAACTCCTGTTCTCACCAGAGCTCCTGCCCTGCATCTGTCACACTAACCAAGTGCATGAGCACTCTCACCAAGTCATGGGGCGTAAATGACTAAATCCAAAGGTAGCTGTTTACATAGATGTGCTGGGCCTGGTTCAAAGTCCAGAGAAAAGATTTTCACCAACTTCTGCAGGCACTGGACAAAGTGCCATCCTCAGCAGAGTGAGGCCAAAGCAGTTAAGTAGTTGCTTAACTCAGCTATACTGTTATTTTCACAGAAGGGACAACAAAACTTAAATATTTTACTTTTGTTCTGAACGAACAAGCAAAATAACAGTAAGCACATATCTCACTTACTAGCCACTTACATTGTAAGACAAAAATATGTATTGAACATATTGAAATATGTATTTTGTTTTTTGAAGTATTTTCACTTCAGACAAGGGGAGGTGTTCCCAAAATGCTTCAGAATATGAAATTAAAAACAGAATTCAGATGTCTTTCTTCACATTCACACTTGTCCCACATTCTTTGCTGCACCGCATTTAACGGCTTGCTGAAGCTGACATGTTCTCCCGTCCTCCCACTAAGGGATACTATTTTTCACCATCACACAGAGAATCTTAGAAGACAGTTGACAGAGATGAGCAATCCCTCTCCATCAAGCTGTCTTCAATGAAAACACTTATTCAGCAACAATAGATTCTGGTTCTTCTAAAACAATAAAAAAAAGCCTGAAACATCGTTCATGTACTTGGAAACAACCTTGCTTTCATATGTATATTTAATTAATTCAAGTATTAAAAGTGTTTGAAAGTCAAGATTAAATCTGTTTCAGCAAAAACTAAGCCTATATAAAGATTGTTTTTTTTTAAATTCTTCAAAACAGAACGCTTGAAAATTCCCTTAATTATTTTTGAGGAGCTGGGGTAGGAAGTGGGGTACGGGAAGAGCAGCAGGGAGAGGATGGAAATACCCTCCAAAAAAAATCCACCTTATTTGCTCAGCTCTAAAAATACATCTGACGATTTCCTAAGTATAATATTTATGTGTTGGGGTTTGTTTGTTTTCTGTTTTAAACCAAAACACACTTAAGTGCCTACAAAGAAGTTTGCATAAGCAAAACAGAACCTCATTAATTAGCTTTACTATCCCAGGCCAGAACTGAGTCCCAGATTGAAAGAGCTCAGTGATTAGCAGGACGTGACACCCAATGTTAGCCGTGTGGTGTTGCCTTGGAAGAGCACAACCCACGTACCTGGCTCCCACACATCAGGCTCTGTGCTGCCATCATGATGGATTTCATTCCTGAAGCACAGACTTTATTGACAGTTGTAGTAGGAGTGCAGATTGGTAGACCTGAGTCAAAGAAGGTGAACAAACAACTATATTATTGAAAGGCTAGACTAATACTTTATTGGTATTCCAGCAATATTTCACATGGTATCAAGCCCAGCATGTCCAGCATGTGCTATTTAACCTGCCAGGGCAATTTATCTACCCTCACCCTGAGTTATGAAACTTCTTGAAGACTTGTTGCTTCTCCCCTGCCAAAAACAGACTTGGGATAAGGGAGCAAGCCAGTGAAAAATCAGAGAGAAGATCAGGGAAGGGACTCCAGAACTATTCCTGCTCCTGACACCCCTACCCCTGCCTCTAAGAAGCATTCAGGACTGAAAAAGGATAAATAAGCTGTGGAATTTAGCAACTGGCAACAAGGCAGACCCCAGAAGCACAGGGAGTCACCAAATGGAATGCTGAACACGGCCAGAAGTGTTATGTGGCACTATCATTCACATGGTTATTAATGAGTTACTGGTGTTATTAAGTTCATTACAATAGTGCTGGGCTCTGCTGTGAGCAGCCTGGCTGAAGGCCACTGCACCACTGCCTGTGCCCTAGGCTTGCTCTCCAGTCCTACAGCTCTGCTACCAGCACATCACCACCACACAAGCCCTGAGATAGGGAAAGTCACACAGGGAAA